ACAGTTAATGACCTGAGTAATTCAAGTCCGGTGCAAAAACGCATGATCGCACGGGCTCGCCCGGTGACTTCCAGCCTGAGTTTTTTTTAAGGAATGCGGGCATTCGATATTTTCTAGGGAATCACACGGGCATTTTCCTTATTATATATCATTTTACCTCCACGTTAAGGATACTGACTTTAAAGCCATTAAAACGACTGACTTTAACAAAAAAAAACCATACGGCAGTTACTGAAATTCGGCTTGGTCTGTTTGGGACAGCAGAGGGTATGAGTGAAAGAAAGGGTAGCAGTCACGGGAAGAAAGAGATAGAAGAAAGGCTTGTGTCTTCATTTCAAAATCTCGCTAAAACATAAAAATCAGTATTTGTTCTTGTGATTTTCGTAACTCTCACCAAAACTCACAAATGAGTGCTTCTTTCTCAAAAACTAGTGCATTTTGTGTGACCGTGTCGAGATTTAGTACTGCCAAACGCAGTTATTTCAAAATATCTTTTACAACTACATTAACTGTTTTCTTATTTTCCTAATAAAATTACTTTAATTATTCAAAAAAAAATTTTGGAATTTTCGGCTAAAAGATTTTATTGTAGAAAAAGAAAAACTGGGTAACGGAATTCGTGAAGCAGTCGGGCGCTTCGATCTTTAAAGGCAAAGATTACACAAAATTCGCGGTGCTTATTGAATCGAAAGAGTCCGAAGACTACGACGATCATCTGGATGAATTCACAAAAGCGGCAAAGAATTTCGAAGATAAGGTTCTGCTAATTATTACGCACCAGGCAACGCCTACTAACAAAACTGCCCGGAAGTTCACAAATCTCCGAGTAGTATTAGACACTATCAGGATTGCCAAAACTAGCCCATAACCCATCTGGAAACCCGATGGACTGGGGTGCTCACGAATGTGAGGCACAGGAGTAGCCGACATTTTGATTCTCAGCTTCATACCTACACTTGGTACCCTCTGCTTATTCAGTCTTAACGCATCGACTAGTCGGAGGTTCCCCGAACAGTTGTTTGCTTTCTTGCAGGTTGCGACGTCCAACGGCTGATAGCAGGGCGAGCAAGAAATTCACTGTCCGGTTCCGTGTCACGTTTTTACGTCTGAAAATAGAAGAGGGGGTTCTGCTGCTTCGTGTGCTGTTAAAATCGTCGTATGTAAACGTTGATAAGAAACAGCCACAGAATGAGTCCAGAGGTGCAAAATTCAGCCGAATGAGTAAAAAATTTAAAACCGGAAATGCGAAAAAACAGTTAGGGGTGCCAAATGGATTAAACAGCGGGAAACTGAATTCATTCACTGCAGTTCCGCTTAATCGCTCATAAATCAGGATGTTTTAGGTTCGATTTGTGTACATCAATACAGATGTGGAAGAGAACTGGCAGCTGATTGAATTTCTCGGTATGATCGCAGAAGATGTGCCATGCGTTCTGTTCATCGATCTTGACGAAGGCCTGAAGAAATATAAAGCGGAGATGAATGAGGTAAAAGTAAATTTTTTGAAGCACGATAATGGTTCGTCAGTATAAAAAAGGCGCGCATAAAATCAAAACCACCCTGCGTTTTGTTGTTTCGATTTTCAAATTGCTTGAATTTTGTAACATTACTTTTGTGAAACCACAAGGCAAACAGAAGATCGCTGGAGCCCAAATCGAATAATATACGCCGCTACGAGCGAGATGACCACATCAGAAAGTAAAATCAATAGGGCAGAAAATGCGGAATCACTGAACGTTGCGCACTGGAGAGTGATACTTATGTAAAAAAGTAGAATCTGTTGGATAGTATTTGCAGGGGTTGGGGGCTAACCGAAACTATACAAGGCAAAACAGAAAAGCCTGGCTCAGCTACTTCCAATGTTTTTGTGCATATCAATAATAATAACAGCTTTCCGATGAAAGAGCTTCATTTGATCAACTGAATTTGATCGACTGAACTTGTCAAATCAGAAAAATCATGAAAAGAAGTATGCAATAGAAGT